CTGACTGTTCCTCTGTCTGGCTTCCTGTCTTTTAATCCCCTTTCTCCTGCTCTTCTGGCCTGCTGCTTTGGGCATCCCTGAGTTGTCCCTGGGGCTGAGTGCTCCTCTGTCGGGTTCCTGGTTTTTATCCCCTTTCTTCTGCCCTTCTGGCCTGCTACTCTGGGTGGGCCTGAGTTTCCTCTCCTCACCTAATCCCTTCGACTGATTGCTCTTCTCTCTGGCTTCCTGGCTTTTATTCCCTTTTTCCTGCTCTTCCCGCCTGCTACTTTGGGCGTCCCTGAGTTGTCTCTCCTCACCTGTAACCCTGGGGCTGACTCCATTTTAATATTAAAAGTTGAAAAAATTATACAGTGAACATTTACATGCCTACCCTGTCTATATTTTACTACGTTTGCTTTATCATATAAATATCCCCTCCATTCCTCTATTTATGCGTCAGTCTATCTATTATTACACAGTTAAAAATAATTTATAGACAAGGTACACTTCACCTCGTAAGCACTTTACCATGCATAGAATTTACTAGAGTATATTTCATAGTTATTTTTCATTTCTCAAGGCAAAATTTAAACATAGTTACATGAACAAATTTCAAGTGTACCATGCAGTGCATTTTGACAAATGCATACACTTATATAAATCATACTTCTTTTAAGATACAGATCATTATCACTATCTGGAAAGTTCCCCCATGCCTTTTTTCAGAGAGTCCCCACCCATGCTGCTAGAAGAAAGTATTGTTCTGGTTTTCTACCATAGATTAGTTTTGCTTATTCTGTAGCTTCAGATAAATGGAATTTACACACACACACACACATGTATGTATATGTATATATATGTTTGTGTGTATGTATATATATATTGTGTGTGTGTGTGTGTGTGTGTGTCTTCTTTTACTTGGCATACAATTTTTGAGGTTCATTTACATTGTTGCCTATGTCAATATCTCTCTCCTTTTAATACTTCATGGTGTAACTTAATTTTATTGAGGTCAGATAAGATGTTCTATATGATGCCTTACTGTATGGACAGTTTTCATAAATGTTGGTAGTGTTTCAAAGAGGGATAAGTATTCTTTTTTTGTTGATTTTATGTTTCTCTGTCCTTTCATTCAAACTAGTTAGTCATGTTTTTGTTTTTTTCTTAATTCTTTTTAAAATTTGTTAGTTCATATCTATACTGTTGTTCTTCATATTTTAAAATTGTTAAAAATTGTTGTTCTTCTTTGCCATTGAGTTGGCCCCTACTCACAGTGACCCCTCCTTCGACCCCTCCTTGGGTTTCCGAGGCAGTATCACTCCGAAAGTAGATTGCCCAACCTTCCTTCCGAGGAGTGGCTGGGGGTTTGAACTGCCAGCCTTCTGGTTAGCAGTCAAGTGCCTTAGGCACTATGCTACCAGAGCTCCCATTTAAAAATTAGAATATAATAAAATTTTTCCTGTTGTGTACAGCTTTATATGTGATAAATGCATACAGCTAGATAGCCACCCCATAATCAAGATGCACAATTTGATCAACCTCCAAATACTCTCATGTTGCTCCATCATTTATCAATCTCTTCTCTCACCTTTTAGCTCTGAAAATCACCCATTTGCTCTCCATCTCTGTAGGTATATTATCTTCCTTTTTATGACTGGCTATTATTCTATTGTATGGATGTACCATACTCTTTTTTTTCCTTTCATTGGTGGAAAGATATTTGGACTATTTCCAGTTTTAGGCAATTACAAAATGGAACTGCTATGAACATTTACATATGGATTTTTATGTGACCCATGTTTTCATTCCTCTTGGGCAAATATCTAGGAGTGGAATTGCTAGGCCTTATGTATAGCTAGCTTTTTTCATAAAGAAGCTAGCTTTAGGATTGGAGGAAGACTCATTAGCAACCTGCAATATGTAGATGACACAACCTTGCTTGCTAAAGATGAAGATTTGAAGCATTTACTGATGAAGATCAAAGATAACATCCTTCAGTATGATTCACTTCAACATAAAGAAAACAAAAATCCTCACAACTGGACCAGTAAGCAACATCATGATAAATGGAGAAACAAATTGAAGTTGTTAAGGATTTCATTTTACTTGGATCCACAACCAGTGCCCATGGAAGCAGCAGTTAAGGAATCAAACAATATATTACATTGGATAAATCTGCTTCAAAAGACCTCTTTAAAGTGTTAAAAAGCAAGGATGTCACCTTGAGGACTAAGCTGCAGCTGACCTAAGCCATGGTATTTTTAGTAGCCATATATGCACTAGACAGTGAATAAGGAAGATTGAAGAAGAATTGCTGTCTTTGAATTATGGTGTTGGTGTAGAATATTGACTGTACCGTGGACTGTCAAAAGAACGAACAAACCTGTCTTGGAAGAAGTGTAGTCAAAATGCTCCTTAGATGTACTAAGGATGGTAAGACTTTGTCTTAAGTACTTTGAATATGTTATCAGGAGGGAAGGAAATCGTGATTGGTAAAGTAGAGGGTCAGCAAAAAAGAGGAGAACCTTCAATGAGATAGATTGACACAGTGGCTGCGTGGTCTCAAACATGGAAATGGTTGTGATGATAGTGCAGGACGAGCAGTGTTTCATTCTGTTACACATACATAGGGTCGTTATGAGTTGGAACTAACTCAGCAGCACTAACAACTATATGTAAGTGTAGGTTTAATTTTATAAGATGTGGGAAGTCTTTTTATCACAAAATCTACTTTGAAAAATGTTAGTTATTTCTTCTTGAGTGAGCTTTGGTCATTGGTATCTTTAAAGGAAATTTTCCGTTTCATCTATAAAATTTATTTACATAAAATTATTACCTCAAATCCCTAATTATCCTTTTAAAATCTGTAGAATTTGTGGTGAAGTCATCTCTTGACTTCATAAGACTCGAAATTTTGTCATCTCTCCTTTCTTCCTGATCGTTTTGGCTAATGGTTTATCAGTTTTATGTATCTTCTCAAGGAACCAGCTTTCGGTTTCAGTGGTTTTTCTCAGTTGATTTTCTATTTTGTATTTAATTGACTTCTGCATTATTTCTTTCTTCTGCTTAGTTTGAATTTAATATCTTGAATTTAACATGTTGTTGTTGTTGTTATGTGCCTTCGAGTCAGACCTGACTCATAGCGACCCCTTCTTGGGTTTCTGAGGCAGTATCACTGCGGAAGTAGATTACCCCATCTTCCTTCCAAGGAGTGGCTGGTGGGTTAGAACCGCCAGCCTTCTGGTTAGCAGTCAAGTGCCTTAGGAATTTAACATAATACAGAAAAATTTTTTTTTCTCTCAATGTAAATTGGCAGATTTTGAAACTGTACTAAATCTAGATATGTGCGTATGTCTCTGTGTGTATGTGTGTGTGTGTGTATTTGTTATTTAGGGAGAATATAAGACTGATGATAGCAAAATTTCAGAAAAAATAAAATTGTCATACTGTTTAAAAATTAAAATAAAAAATAAACTAATGAGTGGGACTTTTTCTCCCTAGTTAGTAGCAGGACACAGGAATTTAAAAAAAATATTTGTTTACTTTTTACCTGTTCATTTGATATCTAGATTCCCCAGTCTTCCTTCCGGGGAGTGGCTGGCGGATTTGAACTGCCAGTCTTCTGGTTAGCAGTCAAATACCTTAGGGACTACGCTACCAGAGCTCCCATCTATGTTTCAAACTGTAAATCATGAAAGACTTGGAATTCCCATGAAAAGTTTTGTAAAATTTACAACACCCAGAGTTATCAGAATTAAAAATGTGCCATAATTTAAGTGGGGCAAAGTGTTGTCCTCAGGAATAAAATTTTATTTTTATCTTAAACACTAAATGATTTTTATTTTAATTAAAAATATAAAAGATTTAAATACCTAGTTCCCAAATGAGTAACTTCTAACTAAGTTATAAGGCAGTTCTACAGTTGTTTTCAGGAGCTCTGGTAGCGTATCGACTGCTCACCAGAAGGCTGGTGGTTCAAACACACCAACCACTCCTTGGAAGGAAGGTTGGGCAGTCTACTTCCATAGTGATACAGCCTCAGAAACCCAAGGAGGGGTCACTGTGGGTCGGGTCCGACTCAACGGCACGTAACAACAACAGCTGTTTTTACTTGGTATACTTTTATGTATTAGAGCAGGAAGCTTCTGTAGTGGATGGAATGGAATTTCTTAATTCTTTTAGGTTGTCTTCCAAAGCCTGAATTAAAATCAAGGAAATACACTGCTCTTTTATTTGACTATTCTATTTAAATTTTAGGAGCTCTGGTGGCATAATGCCCAAGGCATCTGACTGCTCATCAAAAGGTTGGCAGTTCAAACCCACCAGCCACTCCACAGAAGGAAGACTAGGCAGTCTACTTCCGTAAAGATTTACTACCTTGAAAACCTGAAGGGGGGTCACTATGAGTTAGAATTGACTCGATAGTAGTGAGTTTTTCTTTTTTTTTAATTTAAATTTTAAAGATTCTTTTTTTTTTTTTTTATAAATAGAAGTACTTTAGTTTTTGAGACAGTTGAAACTGGCTTAACAATCAGGTTCAGATTGTTTTAAAAATGCTCTTCTTATAAAGTCTTGAATATAGATGTTACTAGAATTGGAGAGTTGATAATAAGGATTATTTTTTGGCTGACTTCTATAATTGTTTAATGTTGTATTTTATCTTTTAGATCCTGTTTGATCAAACTCAGAGATCAATTAAAGCACAACTTCAGAACTTTGTTAAAGAGTAAGTCAATTTCAGTGAAGACAAAGGCAGAACAACCAGTTAATAGTCACGTCTGGTAATTGGTGTATTTCAAAAGGGATTATGGAACATGAATTTCTGAAAATATTAGAGTTTTTTTTTTCTTTGTCAAATGTACATTGCATTTTTTGTGTGTGAATTATTCTGTAAGAAAATAAGATTTCATGTGTTTCAGTGAATCCTTTATACCATGAAATATGTGTTCAGGATACATAGTTAGAGTTGTTACAGGTTTTTTTTTTGTCTTTTTTGTCTTTGTTTTTAATGTAAATAAACAATCTAATGGCCTTTTAAAATCAAAGCATGAAACCCAAAAAGTGGTTGAAATACTATTGGTCATTGCAGTTGAAACTAAGCTTTCCATTGTCTCACTATAGTATTTTCTTTCAAGATGACATAATGGATTATATAAGAAAATGAGTAATGGAAGTTACTGTTTTTTGCTGCATATGATCCTTTTGTGTTACATTAGTCACATTTTATATGTGAATTAAAATGAAACTAGAAAAAAAAATTCCAAACTTTCCAATGTAGGAACATAGGTGTTCCTTTTTCATCTGAATTATTTAATCTTTCTCTTTTAATTTCAGACAGAATACATAGAAATACAAAGAGTTGATTGTGTTACTGTACTCAGGATAAATTAGAGACATAAACAGTAAATAGTGTCATGTAACACACTGCTGTTTAGTAGGTTAGAATTTGTTGTCCTGTCCGTGATGTCTTTCAGATTCTTTATAAGTTACTTAATAGTAACTAACACTGGTAGCAACCCTCCTTGTAGAATGTTTACATTCAAGTACAACTTCTTTTGAACAGTTCAAAGTTTTTCTTACACAATCTTTGTTTCTGAAATCATTGTCTTTACATTATTTTGCCATGTGGGAAAAGTAAAAGCAAAGGGTTGTTATGCTTTCCTCTGTCACTAGAAGCAATGTTATTTTTGAGACAGATGAAATTGGCTTAAAACTTGGTTTCAGGTTCTTTTAAAATGATTATTTCTTATGTAGTCTTGTAGATGAAGACTGTGATAATCATCTAAGATGAGTAAGATTACCTAAAATCATTAATGAATCAAGATTTTAAGATTTTTCCGACTATTAAAATGAATAGTATTACCTTTTACTGATACATCAATTTTTTTTTGAGAAAAGCGAAATATGTTGTATATACGAAAAAAAAAACCAAACTCACTGCTGTTGAGTCAGATCTGATTCATAGTGACCCCTCCTTGGGTTTCTGAAGCTTTATTACTAGTAGATTGCCCAACCTTCCGTCCGAGGATCTTAAGACATAAATGATCGGAGCTCTTTGATCCAGTAATTTCCTCCAACGAGAAATGAATGAATGGTCACATTGTTTGTTAAATTGTCTTCTCTAGACCACCCATGTTGTTGTTGCTGTTAGGTGCCGTGGAGTCTGTTCCAACTCATGGCGACTCTATGTACAATGGAACCACACAGTGCCTGGTCCTTTGCCAGCCTCACAATCCTTGCTGTACCTGAGCCTATCGTAGCAGCCACTGTGTTAATCCATCTTGTTGATAGCTTTCCCCTTCTTTGCTGATCCTCCACTTTACCGAGCATGATATCCTTCTCCAGGGAATGGTCTGTCTTGACAACATGACCAAAGTAGGTGAGATGAAGTCTGGCCTTTCTCATTTCCAAAGAGCGTTCTGGCTGCGTACTTCTTCCAGGACAGATTTGTTAGTTCTTCTGGTAGTTTGAGGGTGTTTTCAGTATTCTTTGCCAACACCACAACTCCAAAGCATCTTTTTTCTGTCTTCCTTATTCACTGTCCAGCTTTCATATGCATACGAGGCAACTGAAAATACCAGGGCTTGGGTTAGGTGCACCTTAGTCTTCAGAGTGACATCTTTGCTCTTCAGCCCTTGAAAGACGTCTTTTTCAGCTGATTTGCCCAGTGCTATACATCATTCGATATCTTGACTGCTGCATCCATTGGTGTTGATTGTGGAACCAAGTAATATGAAATCTTCGATAACTTCAATCTTTTCTCCATTTATCATGATGCTTTTTATTGGTCCAGTTGTGAGTGTTTCCATTTTCTTTATGTTGAGGTGTAATCCATACTGCAGACCATAGCCTTCAATCTTCATTAGTAAGTGCTTCAAGTCAGCCTCAGTTTCAGCAGGCAAGGTTGTGTTGTCAGCATATCACAGGTTGTTAATGATGCCATGTTCTTCATATAGTCCAGCTTCTCGGTGTATTTGCTCAGCATATGGATTGAACAAGTATGGTGAAAGGATACAACCCTGCCTCACAACCTTCCTGATTTTAAACCACTCAGTATCCCCTTGTTCTTTTTGAACAATAGCTTGATCTATGTACAGGTTCCTCATGAGCATAATTGTTTTAGAATTCCTGTTCTTCTCAATGTTATCCATAATTTGTTATGATCCACACAATCGAATGCTTTTGCATAGTCAATTAAACACAAGTAAACATCTTTTGGTATTGTTTACTTTCAGCCAAGATCCATCTGACATCAGCAATGATATCCCTCATCCCACGTCCTCTTCTGAATGCATCTTGCGTTTCTGGAAGTTCCCTGTCAAAATACTGCTGCAACCGTTTTTGAATTATCCTCAGCTAAATTTTACTTGTGTGTGATGTTAATGATATTGTTCAATAATTCCCACATTCTGTGGGATCACCTTTCTTTGGAATGGGTACAGATATGGATCTCTTCCAGTCAGTTGGCCATGTAGTCTTCAGATTTTTTGGCACAGACAAGTAAGTGCCTTCAGCATAGTATCTTTTTGTTGAAACATCTCAGTGAATATTCCATCAGTTCCTGGAGCCTTGTTTTTCACCAGTTCCTTCAGTGCAGCTTTGACTTCTTCCTTCAGTATCATTGGTTCTTTATCATACTCCACCTCCTGATAGATGAACATTGGCCAATTCTTTTTTGTACAGTGACTCTATGTATTCCTTCCATCTTCTTTTGATGTTTCCTTCATCATTCCATATTTTGCCCGTGGAATCTTGCAATATTGCAACTGGAGGCTTGAGTTTTTTCCCTTAGTTCTTTGAGCTTGAGAAATGCTGAACATGTTCTTCCCTTTTGTTTTTCTGACTCTAAGGCTTTGCACATTTCATTATAATAATTGAGTTTGTCTTCTCAAGCTGCTCTTTGAAATCTTCTGTTCATTTCTTTTATCTTGTCATTTCTTCCATTTGCTTTAGCTACTCTTCATTCAAGAGCAAGTTTCAGAGTCTGTTCTGACATCCATGTTGGTCTTCCTTTCCTGTTTTTAATGACTTCTTGCTTTCTTCATATGTTCTTTCTTTCATTCTTCCTTCCTTCCTTCCCCCCTTTTTTTCTCTTTCTTTCTTTTCTTTGATTTGGGTGAACGTTTACAGAGCAAATTCACTTTACATACAGCAGTTCACATATGCTTTGTCTCATGACATTGACTACAGTTTACCCCAATGCAACAGCTCCCCTCCCTCTTCCTTCCAATAGTTACCTCTTCCCTGTGTCCGGACATCCCTCCATGCAGTCCTGTCCCCTGAACTGTCTCCCTGTGTGTAAACAACCCATCTTTCTCCCATAATTGTTCTCTCCAAGGAGTGTATTTACCTCACATAAATGTTCAACTCATATGCCTGTCTTTTGTTTGGTTGGAAGCCACAGGTATTTAATTCCAGACCTGAAGTGCAGCTAGGGGCCATAGTCTCAGTGGTTCCACCAGGCTCTATCGGACCAGCAAACCTGGTCCTCCCCCCCTCTTTTTTTTCCAAATGCTTTTGAGTTTTGTTCCATATTGTTCTCCCTCTCTATCCATGATCTCTGACATAGGTCTCCCTCCAAGTGGTTGACAGTGGTAGCCAGGCATCATCTAGTTCTTCTGGTCTCATAGTCGTATAGGCTGTGGATCGCATGGTGTACCAGTCGCTTGGACTAATTTTTTCCGTGAATCTTTGGTTTTCTTCATTCTTCTTTGCTCTGTACAAGGAGAGATCCATCATTGTATCTAGATGGCTGCTTGCAAGCTTTTAAGATCCCAGTCACTACTTGCCAAAGTAGGAGGTGGAACAATGTTTTATGTAGTATGTTATGCCAATTGAGCTTGATGTCCCCTGTGACTATGGTCCCGAGCCCACAGGTTCAACTACTTGGTCCCTCTGGGTAGCTGGCTGTGACCAAGAAGTGCCTATAACCTTGTGCCTTGTCAGCTCTAATATACGCCTGGGAATTCTTACAGATCATACAGATACTCTTGTAGAACCATTGTCTGCCAACCCTATACATGGTCTTGGGTATACTCCCTACTTCATAGACATACCTAATACTAATAGTTCAACCTGTCCACCCATCTATCCACCTGTGTACCCATGTTTGCTTTCACTGACAACTGTATGTGCATAAGGGTTCATTTTTGTTGTCTGCACCTCACATGTACCTCTGTATGTATTCCTCTTCCTCCATGCCACTATGTTGATCACTCACATTTGGTATATTGCCCTTTTCTTCACCCAAATCAATACTTATCTCTCCTTATCTAACAGTGTTCCCTCCCTTCCCCTCCCACTCCTGGTATGTGATGTTCTTGATGTCATCCTACGATTCCTCTGGTCTTCTGTCATTGGTGTTCACTGTGTCAAATCTGTTGTTTAGTGATCTGTAAATTCAGGTGGGATATAATCAAGGTCATATTTTGGCTCTTGTGGACTTGTTTTAGTTGTCTTCAGCTTCAGCTTGAACTTGCATATGAGCAATTGATGGTCTGTTCCACAGTCAGCTCCTGGCCTTGTTTTGGCTGAACATACTGAGCTTCTCCATCACCTCTTTCCACAGACATAGTCAATCTGATTCCTGTGTATTCCATCTGGGAGGTGCATATATATAGCCACCATTTATGTTGTTGAAAAAAAGGTATTTGCAGTGAATAAGTTGTCATTCTTGCAAAATTCTGTCATGTGATCTCCAGCGTCATTTCTATCACCAAGGCCATCTTTTCCAACTATTGGTGATTCTTGTTTGTTTCCATCTTCTGCATCTCAATCACCAGTAATAATCACTGCATCTTCATTGCATGTTTGGTCAATTTCAGACTGCAGAAGTTGATAAAAATCTTTAATTTCGTCATCTTTGCCTTTGGTGTGGTTGGTGTGTAAATTTGAGTAATAGTCGTATTAATGGGTTTTCCTTGTAGACATATGGATAGTATCTATTACTGATAGCGTTGTACTTCAGGATAGATCTTGAAACATTTTTTGTGACGATGAATGTCACGCCATTCCTCTTCAATTTCTCATTCCTGGTGTAGTAGGTAGATCATATGGTTGTGTGATTCAAAATGGCCAAAACCAGTCCAATTCAGCTCACTAAATCTAGGATATCAACCTTTATGCACTCCATTTTGTTTTTGACAACTTCTAATTTTCGTAGATATATACTTCGTACATTCCATGTTCCTGTTATTAGTGGATGTTTTCAGCTGTTTTTTTCCCATTTCGAATTATGCCACATCAGCAAATGGAGGTCCTGATAGCTTTGCTCCATCCATATCATTAAGGTCGACTCTTCTTTGAGGAGGCAGCTTTTCCCCATTCACATCTTGAATGCCTTCCAACACGAGGGGCTCATCTTCTGGCACTATATCAGACAGTGTTGCAAGGCTATTCATAATGTTTTCCAGAAATAAACAGATTTTCACTGCTTTTTGTAAGGTTTTTACTGGCCAGTACTTTGAGAAGTGGATAGTCCCTTCCTTCTTCTGAGTCTGTCTTAGTCTGGAAGCTCCACTGAAACCTGTCCTTCATGGGTGACCCTGCTGGTATTTGAAATACTGGTGGCATTAGCCTCCAGCCTCACCCCAACATGTAAGTCACCACAGTATGACAAACTGACACATAAGTGGTAGAGACCACCCATAACAGCACTTTGAAATACAAACAAACAAACAACAGAAAGCCCATATAAGAGATTTCTAGGATTTATCCCAAAGACTAATGAATTATATAACCTTTGGGAAAAAGGCCTTGGAATTTACATTTTAAACAAATCATCTGCTGTGATTCTTATGTATGTTGTTGTTGTGTGCCATCTAGTCGGCCCTGACTCATAGCGACCCCTCCTTGGGTTTCTGAGGCAGTATCACTATGGAAGTAGATTGCCCCATCTTTCTTCCGAGGAGTGGCTGGTGGGTTTGAACCGCCTGCCTTCTGATTAGCAGTCAGATGCCTTAGGCACTACGCTACCAGAGCTCTTATGTATACTACTATTTAAAACTCTTTTGGTTAAATGTGGTATTTGTCCCTGCATTTGTCTTTAGAAAGAAAAATTAAACTCTGCTTTTTTGCCTTCCTGTGATGTTAGTTTGATTATTTATTTTCTCCTCAAATTTTATAGATTTTAATGATGAAATGTTAGCTGACTATATTGAGATTAATACGTAGTTGGGAAACAGTATATATTTTAATTGGCAGAACTATGAAAGTCAGTGCAAAATGAAACAAATGCAGGAACCTAAGAGTTCATTCAAAATGTTTATTTTTTGGCTAAAGTTTTTTTTTTTTAATTTAAAAATTTTATTGTGGTTATATATATACACATATATCAGAAAATTTGCCATTTTAAACATTTTTTATAGGTATATCCAAGGACCTGGATTACATTTACAGTGTTGTACAATCATCACCAGTATCTATTTCTAAAACTTTTTCATCTTTCCAAACAGTAACTCGGTGCCCATTAAGCATTAGCTCCCTGTTGCCCTCTGCCACAGCCCCTTGTTGTTATGTTGTTACATGCCGTCGAGTCGGACTCGACTCACAGCGACCCCCTCTTGGGTTTCCGAGGCGGTATCACTATGGAAGTAGATTGCCCAACCTTCCTTCTGAGGAGTGGCTGGTGGGTTTGAACTGCCAGCCTTCTGGTTAGTAGTCAAGTGCCTTAGGCACTATACTGCCAGAGCTCCTTGCCCCAGCCCCTGGTAACCACTAATTTCCATTCATCTCTGTGCATCTGCCTGTTGTAGGTATTAATTATAAGTGGCGTCATATAATATTTGCCCCTTTGTGTGTGACATTTTTACTTCTATTTTTAATTAAGTTTTTGATCAAGACAGTGTTTTTTTTCCTGTTGTTTATTTTTAAAAAATTTTATTGTGATGTAGGTTAAAGTTTACAGGGCAAATTCATCCACCATACAGCAGCTCACATACACTTTGTCTAATGACATTGACTGCAACTTCCCACAGTGCAATAGCTTCCATCCCACTTCCTCCCTATGTCCTTCCCTCCATTCACTCCTGCCTCACGAGCTGTCTCCCTGTGAATATACAGCCCTTCCATTCTCCCATGATTGATCTCTCCAAGAAGTGTGTCTACCTACTGTAAATGTTCAGCTCATATGCCTGTCTTTTGTTTGGCTGGAACCCACAGGAGTGGGTTTAATTCCAGACCTGAAGAGCAAGTAGGGACTATAGTCTCAGTAGTTTCATCAGGCCCTATCAGACCAGCAACCTGGTCCCCCTTTTTTTTTTTTATCTTTTTTTTTATGAGTTTGAGTTTTGTTCTACATTGTTCTCCCACTGTACCCAGGATCTCCTGCATAGATCCCCCTTGGAGTGGTTGACATTCTTCTGGTCTCATAGTCTTATAGGCTGAGAATCGCATAGTGTATCAGTCGCTTGGAGCAGTGGTTTCTGTGCGTCTTCATTTTTCTTTGCTCTGGATGAGGAGAGAGACCCATCATTGCATCTAGATGGCTGTTTGGAGGCTTTTAAGATCCAGTCACTAATCACTAAAGTAGGATGTGGAGCAGTGTTTTTGTGTAGTATGTTATGCCAGTTGAGCTTGATGTCCCCTGTAAGTATGGTCCCATGCCTGTAGGTCCAACTGCTCACTTACACTGGGTCTCTGGCTGTGGCCAAGAAGTGACTACAGCCTTGTCTCTTGTCAGCTCTAGTGTATGCCTGGGAATTCTTACAGAACGTATAAATACACTTGTAGAAACATTGACTGCCAACCCTATACGTGGTCTGGGCACACTTCCCTCTGCATAGATACATCTAAATAGTTCAGCCTCTCAAGACAGTTTTATGGAAATTTCACTAAGTTCTTATTTTTCAGAGATCTTAGAAAATTCAAAGATGCCAAGAAGCAATTTGAAAAAGTCAGTGAAGAAAAAGAAAATGCATTAGTAAAAAATGCTCAAGTACAAAGAAACAAACAGCACGAAGTTGAAGAAGCCACAAACATTCTAACAGCAACAAGAAAATGTTTTCGACACATAGCTCTTGACTACGTACTTCAGGTATACTTATTAAATGTTTTTTAAAAATGGTTACTGAACTGGTTATTATTTTTGAGTGATGATGCTGAAAAGAATACATAATGCTTAGAATATAAAATTAAAACATCTTTTCTGAAATATTTTCACCTGTGTCTGTACATCTCTGCACGTGTATTGTGTGTTGTGCATGTGTGTGTATTCATTGGTTGTGATTTCTCCCTTTCTTCACTGAACATTATGCTTTCCTCCATTTTAAAATGTTTAAAAAAGCATTTTAAATTATTACATAATATTTATGGAGTTGCTGTGTTGCATTAATTAATATTTGAATACTAGACATACATTCACAATAGAGAAAATAGAATTTTTTTAATTATAAATGATAATAACATCTTTGTATACAAATATTTTTCCACATGTCTGATTATTTCTTTAGAATAAATTCTTAAAGGTAGAATGGTACATGGAATTCTGAGGCTTACCATTTTTTGCCAAATGAAAAATGTTGGTAGAAATAGTGTTCTTATGTTTGCATCAGACCAAACTCACTGCCGTTGAGTTGATTCCGACTCATAGCAACTCCTCCTTGAGTTTCTGAGGCGGTATCTCTACAGAAGTAGATTACCCAATCATCCTTCCGAGGAATGGCTGGTGGATTTGAACCGCCAGCCTTCTGGTTAGCAGTCAAATGCCTTAGGCACTACGCCACCAGAGCTCCCCGTGTTCATATAGGTACTATTTTTTTAAATTAGTGATTTGTGTTTGGTAAGTTGCACAATTGAAGCTAGTTTGAGTATGATGGTCTCCAGTGGAATTTGAGACACATAAAAAATGAAGGCATTCTTTTTATACATTATTTCAAATGTGATGTTCATATATATTATGTGTTACTATACAATGTGTAATTTTAAAGCGTAAGAACTTTATTTTTTATTTATTTATTTTTTACTACCTATGAAATCTTTTTTGTTTTTTTATTTTAAGAGTTTGTGTTACATTCAATGTCACATGTACGTTTAGTTTCACTCCCCATTTACCATGTCCAACTCTAACCCAGTCTTCTCCCCTCCCTGCCCTGTAACCCTCCCCCCCATGCCCCTCATGGTTATGCACTCCTGTTAGTCCTGCATTTTCTCTGTGTGAATATTGCCCCTCTGGTGCCCTGTGGTCTGTTGCTCCAAGGGATGCATTTCCATAGAGTATGTGGGTGCATCACCCTGGGTTGAGTGGTCTGCATGTACATCTTGTTAACTATTGGGCTGAGAGCCAGCCCCTGGGAGTGAGTTTTATTCCAGGCCTAGAATGTATCCCAGGGCCATAGTATTGGGGGTCTCACCAGACTCCATCCGACCAGTACTTCTGGTCATTATTGAGTTTTTGCATTTTATTCCATGTTTTTCCTACCACTCTATCCAGGATCTCCAGTTTTGATCCTTTCCTGAGTGGTTGGCATTTGTAGTCGGGCACCATCTAGTTCTTCTGGTCTCGAGGGCCATCGTGTCCTAGGGCTGATTGCTTCCAAATGCCCTTGTTCTTTTCTTTTCTTTTCTTTTCTTCACTCTTCTTTGCTTCCGATAATAGGAGATCATTAGCTGCATCTTAGATGGCCGCTTGAAAGCTTTTAAGACCCCAGTTGCTACTCACCAATGTAGGATGAGGAACAAGACTTTTATGTATTTTGTTGTGCCAATTGAGTCTGGTGTCCCCCAGTACCTGATACGGTAGATCCATTGGATCTCTCTCCCACAGTGTTTGACTGTCTATGAGGGATTACTCTGTATCTGTCTTCTTTTGTTTCTGTTTCACTGGTATGGTAGACCTCACTCTCCTTCTTGAAACATACTTTTTTTCTTGATTTATCTGAAACTACTTTTTGGTCCTCCTTTTCTTGTATTTATTAAGTTTCTCTTCTAGGGTTCTGCCTATTGTTAGCCTTTTTGATCTCCTTCCTTAGGATTTCATGTTTGATCTTTTTCTTTATTCAATTGTTGATTTTCCTGACAGTCTTATCATGCTCCCTGCTTGAATTATTACCTATACATAGATGACAGAAATCTGTTTCTCAGAGAGGTACCTAAACTCATATGTCCAACACTGGACTCTGTCATCTTCCAAAATGATTTCTCTTTTGCCCTTATCTAACTGAGTAACATCATTTTCTTATTCATTTATACAGTCTGAGCATTACATCAGATGCTCTTCTCATTCTCAGCTGCTTTGCTTCATCACAGAATACCTTGAAGTCTCCCCTGATGTACTTCTTAAATCTTTCTTTCCTCACCCTTGCTGTAGCTGTACTGCCAGTCCTATTGTTTCTTTTCTGGAGTATTAAGATATTGTAGTTTAATTGGTCTTTTTTGCATTGCTTTAACCTGTCCCTTCAGTGGTTTGTTCTATATTCTATGATTCGGAGTACTCAAATTTATGTCCCACTACTTGTCTGTCAGCTTGTCGTACTGTGGTAGCTTGCTTGCTGCTGTGATCTGGAAGCTACGCGAGGAAGAAGGAAGTGGTGGTCACCTCCTGAAAAATTGGCTACTGAAAACCTTATGAATAGCAGTGAAACATTGTCTGTTACGGTACTGAAAGATGAAGAGCTCCTCAGGTTGGAAGGCACTCAGACAATGACTGGGGAAGAACTACTTCCTGAAAGTAAGAGTTGACGTTAATGACGTAGATGGAGTAAAGCTTTCAGGACCTTCATATGCTGAAGGGGAAAATGAAGAAGTAACAGCTGCACACATTCATTATAATCAGAATGTGGAATGTATGAAGAATAAATCTAGGAAATTTGGGAGTTGTCAAAAATGAAATAGACTGCATAAAGAACTGTACCCTAGGCATTAGTAAGCTGAAATGGACTGCTATTGACCATTTTGAATCTGACAATCATATGGTCGACTATGCTGGGAATGACAGATTGAAGAGGAATGGCACATATATTGTCAAAAACAACATTTCAGGATCTATGCTGAAGTACAGTGCTGTCAGTGATAGGATAATATTCATATACCTACAAGAAAAACCAGTCACTACTACTATTATTCAAACTTATCCACCAACTATTAAAGCCAAAGATGAAGAAATTGAAGATTTTTACAAAATTCTACAGTCTGAAATTGACCAAGCATTTAATCAAGATGTATTGATAATTATAGGTGATTGCAGTGCAGAAATAAAGAAGAAGCTTCAGTAGTTGGAAAATAAGGCCTTGTTGAAAGAAATAATGCTAGAGACTGCGTGATAGAATTTTGCAAGACCAACAACTTTTTCATTCCAGATAGCTTTTTTAAATAACATAAACAGCTGCTATACATGTGGACCTTACCAGATGGAAAACACAGGAATCAAATTGACTATATCTGTGGAAAGAGGCAGTGGAGAAGCTCAATATCATCAGTCAGAACAAGGCCCGGAGCTGACTGTAGAACTGACCATCAGTTGCTCATGTGCAAGTTCAAGTCCACAAGAGCCAAAATACAACTTTGATTATATCCCACCTGAATTTAAAGACCATCTGAAGAATAGATTTGACACACTGACCATCAATGACCAAAAACCAGATGAGGTGTAGGATGACATCCAGAACATCATATATGAAGAGAGCAAAAGATCATTAAAAAGATAGGAAAGGAAGAAAAGACCAAAATGGATGTCAGAAGAGACTCTGAAACTTGCTCTTGAATGAAAATGAGTTAAAGTGAATGGAAGAAAGGATGAAATGAAAGAGCTTAACAGAAGATTTAAAAGGGTGGCTTGAGAAGACAAAGTATTACAATGGAAAGTGCAGAGACCTGGAGTTAGAAAACCCGAAGGGAAGAACATAGTTAGCTTTTCTGAAGCTGAAAGAACTGAAGAAAAAATTCAAGCCTTGATCTGTAATATTGAAGAATTCTCTGGGCAAAATACTGAATGATTCAGGAAGCCATCAAAAGAAGATGGAAGCAATACAGAGTCAATGTACCAAAAATAATTGGTTGATGTTTAATCATTTCAGGAAGTAGCATATGATCAAGAACGAATGGTATTGAAGGAAGAAGTCCAAACTGCACCGAAGGTGCTGACGAAAAATAAAATTCCAAGAATTGACAGAATACCCACTGAGGTATTTCAGAAACTCCTGGAGGCACTCACTTGTTTATTCCAAGAAATTTGGAAGACAGCTACCTGGCCAACTGACTGAAAGAAATCCATTTTTGTGCCGATTCCAAGGAAAGGTGATCCAACAGGATGTGGAAATTATTGAACAATATAATTAATGCCACATGCCAGTAAAATTTTATTAAAGGGAGTTAAAAAATAGTTTTCGCAGTATATTGACAGGGAACTGCCAGAAATTCAAGCAGGTTTCAGAAGAGGACGTGGAATGAAGGATAGCGTTGCTGATATCAGATGGATCATGGCTGAAAGCAGAGAATACCAGAAAGATGTTTACCTGTGTTTTATTGACTATGCAAAGGCATCTGACAATGTGGGTCATAACAAATTGTGGATAAACTTGAAGGGAATGGGAATTCTAGGACATTTAATTGTGCCCCTGTGGGACCTATACATAAACCAAGAGGTTATCATTCAAACAGAACAGAGGGATACTGCATAATTTAAAATCAGGAAAATTTCACCATACTTACTCAATTTGTATGCTGAGCAAATAATCCAAGAAGCTGGACTATATGAAGAAGAATGCAGCATCAGGATTGGAGGAAGACTCATTAACAACCTTCAGTGTGCAGACAACACAGCCTTGCTTGCTGAAAGTGAAGAGGACTTAAAGCATTCACTGATGAAGATCAAAGACCACAGACTTCAGTATGGATTCCACTTCAACATAAAGAAAGCACAAATCCTCACAACTGGACCATAAGCAATAGCTTGATAAACAGAAAAAAGATTGAACTTGTCAAGGATTTAACTTTATTTGGTTCCACAATCAATGCCATGATAGCAGTAGTCAAGAAATCAAACGAGACATTGCACTGGGCAAATCTGCTACAAAAGACATCTTTAAAGTGTTTAAGAAC